CTGGCGCTGAGCTTCCCCTCCCCCCGCGTGAAACTCCCTGAGGGGGAGCAGGGAGGGCTGGGGAGGGGTTGTGGATCCTTCCCCATTTATGTGTTAATTTGAAGTCATTTGCACTGGGAAAGATGAGGCGGGGCAGAGAGATTTCCCCCCCACCCTTTTTTTTTTTGGTCCTTGACCCCTTAAAAGAGAACGGGGCACACAGATGTGCTCGTAGTCACATTATTTTATTTCCTTACAATGACTGCAGTGTGAGTGCTTACTGTGTGTGTGAAACTACTGGTTTTACTGTGTCTGAATTATTTTCTTTGGCGGGAGTAGGCTGAGAGGGGACCATAGAAATGCTTATAAATATTTCAAGCGTGGGTGTCAGGAGGATGGGGCCAGACTCTTTCCAGTGGTGCCCAGCGACAGGACAAGGGGCAACGGGCACAAACTGAAGCAGAGGAAGTTCCATCTGAACATGAGGAAGAACTTCTTCCCTCTGAGGGTGATGGAGCCCTGGCCCAGGCTGCCCAGGGAGGTTGTGGAGTCTCCTTCTCTGGAGATATTCCAGACCCGCCTGGACGCTGTGCTGTGCAGCCTGCTCTGGGTGACCCTGCTTGGGCAGGGGGTTGGGCTGGGTGACCCACAGAGGTCCCTTCCAACCCCGACCATGCTGGGATTCTGTGAAAGATGGTAAAATATTAATAACGCCTAGCCCATGCGATGGCACTTCTTAGGCAATAAACTTAGTACACATCAGCACTGTAACAAGTGCTAAATCCAACGGTTTGCCCATGTAGAAAAATAAATAACTGGTTTTCTACCCATCAGTGTGTAAAGCTGGAGAAGATGTAGTTGTCTGTGCAGAAAATGTTCCCTGTAAGTAGAGCTTGAGGAGCATCTGGTGCAATCAGCCCATTGGAGTGTGTGAAACGCGAGCTGGTCTGCTCAGGTTGCTGATAATTAAAGTTGCGGTTACCAGTTTGCAGTGGTGACACGGCGAGCAGCTGATCTGTATCCTTCGTCCGCTGTATAGCTGTAAAAAAATACCACGTAAAATCACAAAAGGTTCTTTTGTGTGTACAAATGTGGAGGTTTGAGGTGGTGCTTAAATTGTGGCAACTTACCTACATTGACATAAAAAAGAGGATTTTTTTTTAATTAAATCGATGAGGTATAGAAAGGAAGTTTTATGCAGTTGATCCCCAAAAGAACGTCTTTTCCCCAGTTTTTAAAATTTTGTGTAATTTTCCTTAAAAATTCAGTGTCATTATAAAAGTAATTGATCACACAAGTTTTTATGCCTTACACAAAGAGATACACAGATTCTTCTGTAAAAATACGGACCTTTAACGTTGTTTCATGTTGTTCTATTCAACGTGTAGAATGGTTTAATTTTAAATTGTTTCTTCTTACTATGATTTGGTGAAAGTTGCCCTGGTCAGTACTCTACATTACATTGTGCTATATTTATCTTCCGTATCTTTAATTCATATCCTCATATCTTTGTTTTCTTACAGGAGGCACCAACAAATGGAACACAAATTAACTTAAGCCTATGTGAGGCTGGTGACACCTGAAAGAGGGTAGGGAAAATTGATACGTAAAGATGTGTTCAAAAGTAACGTAATGGTGATTATAATGCTAAATAGGTGAGCACACTTGGGTGTGGTGTGCAAGAACAGACTCATCTGGATGCCAAAAATGAACGAATGCATGTAAATAACTTTGAAAATACAGAAGAATGTGTTTAAATGGGGTCTTGAACTCAGGACTTGAGTTTTTGTAATATTCTGGTCACATAATATTTTGTTTAGTAGCTAATGAAAAACAAAAAGATACTCTTGTTGAAAATTTAGCATTATAAATTATTTCTGGATATAATCTGCAGGAATAATAATGTGACTGACTCATTGCCCTCTTTCCAACTGTCTTCACAAATTCATTGCAAATTGAGACTCTAGAGGTTTGTCATTTACAGTCCCAGAAAAGAGCATCACTGATGACTTCTCATGAATATTTTTAATATTTCAGTGCAAAATAATGAAATGGATTAGCACTTTTATGCAGGATAGCAAACTAAAATTTTGGGAGAACTATGAAATACTGCTTTCTAGAAGGCTTCTTTCCATCTTCGCTAATCAGCGACATTCAGTTGGTTTCCCAACATTACAGTTGTCATAACTGACTTACCTAACTCTGGGATTTTTTTGGAGCCACGTGTTCACCAGAGGAACTACTCAAACGATCAGTGAGATAGAAGTGGATTTCAGAGATAGACAAAGGAGTAGATGCAGTCTTTGAAAAGATTTTGTTGGAAGTCTAATTGTTTTAGTAAAACTTGGTGCAGTAGAGTGCTAGGACCTATCTTTTAAAACATATATATTTTTTCAGGTTTCTTTCTTAAAACTTGTGGGGGTTGGAAAGAATAATGGACTTACGTTTCCTTTTTTCCCTTTCAGGGAAAGTGAAGAAGCTGTGCTCTGTGCTTTCTGTCTGACCCGTGGGGAGTACATTTGGGAGCATGTTTGCTACTTAGCAGGAAACTAAAATTCAGGTACAATACATTAAAAAAAAAAAAAAAAAAGATGCAAGTGGATTTTTATTACTATATCATTTTATCCAGTTTGATGCTATCCTTATGTTACTGTTGCTGAAAACGATTTCCCCAGTAATATGTATTTGGTGATCTTTAATGAGTTAAAAATTCTAAAAATAGTAATTCTTGTGATTGTCAATTTGTGCACTGAGTCATGCTGTATGATAAAAGTAATCCTTCACCTAAAAAAAAAAACCCCACCCCAAACAAATTTGTGTTTATGAATGCATTATAATACAAAGACACTTGTCATTTGGAAATATTTTTAATTCTAGGCACAAGAGGTTGTAAACGTAAAGAGTGAATATGGGTGAGAAGAAGCCAGAACCTTTGGACTTTGTAAAAGATTTTCAGGAATATCTTACACAGCAGACTCACCATGTAAATATGATTTCTGGATCGGTTAGTGGCGACAAGGAAGCAGAGACTCTTCAGGGAGGTGAGCTAATTTCAGTGCTATCAGTTTTTCTTTTTTTTGAGAAAGACTGCACTGTTTATGTTCCAGATAATTATGCAGACGACTACAATTGTATTGAAGCATTTCTGATAGTCGTTTTCACGTCCCAAAAGATGTGTACATACTTTGGTTTTAATCAGGGTATGTTTGTGTCATTCTATGTATTTAGTGGTATACAGAAGGCAAAGATATTTGGCATATTCTCACAGCGCAATAGGTAGTATCCTGCTGATTCTTGATTGAAGTCTTTGTTGGGTTATTCACAGCTGGGACAGAAAGTGATCAGAATGGTCTGGATCATCCTTCTGTTGAAGTTTCCCTGGATGAAAACTCAGGAATGTTAGTGGATGGGTTTGAAAGGACTTTTGACGGAAAATTAAAGTGTCGATACTGCAACTATGCCAGCAAAGGAACAGCACGGCTCATAGAGCATATCAGAATTCATACAGGTATGCAATATTCTGCAGTACTTTGCTGTGAGGCATTGTGGTTGTCAGGAGTTAGCATCTTCAAGCAGCGTGATAGTTCTTAGAGCTACTCAACAATTAGAACTGTTTTTTGGGTTTTTAATAGACTATTTTATCAAAGATGTGCCATGTACCTATTTAAACTATGCAAATTCATACTTACATATTTTATTGCAGACTACTGAATTTGAAGCAACTACATATGAGAGTGAAGTTTAGCAGGAAAGCAGCAGTGTAAATTGAAGGGTCCTACACGTAGCTTTTGGTTTTTCCTTGCTAATGAAAAAAGTGAAAAATGCACATGCTGCCACATGGAGATTAATAGGGGCTTTTCTTCTTCTGTTGTTTAGCTATGAAAATATTCATGTTTTGCATAATATTTTAGCTGCAGAAGTACAAAACAGTAATAAGAATAAAGTTTTCTTATTGGTAGAGTGTTCAAGCATTGGAGCATATCATCAAATAAGTGATTAATAACAGTAATGAAAAGAAAAAAATATTTGCTGTGCCTTGCTTAAGAGCATTTGCCACTTGGGTTTGTGAAACGGAAAAGCAAAATTCGCACTAAAGGTCAGAATGTCCTAAATGGTTCATGGAGTCAGCTGCGACTCCTTGGCAAATGAGAGAAAACAGACCAAAGGTCTTTGTGCAGTCTGACTTTGCCTGTCGAGTGTGTTACACCGATACAGAAGACTTTATGGCTGTCAACTACAGTAAGAAGAAAAAAAAAATTATATTCTGAAAAAAATTGGAAGTTTTTATAGGTTTCCAGTTTGGTGTCGACTGTCCCAAAACTTCTAAGTGTATCATTTCAGTGGTCTGGGGTGGGTGGCATTCTGCGACTCGCTTTGAAGGCAACGCATTGCTGTAACTTGGGTGTAACTGTAGCGCTCTCCAGGTACGGTTACTGTTAGTCAGATTCTGGCTTTGCAAACCATTGCTTCCACACGGTAGCTCCCAGGATGGATTTTGGGAAGTCAGTGCTCCTTGCACTGGCCCTGCAGTGTTGGCTTGTTTTGACAAGGCGTAAGGGGATAGAAAATGACAACCAACAAAACATCAGAGTTCTGAGGTTCAGATGCTGAAGATCTTGTAAATTCTTCTCTTGTGCTACCGTGAGCTACCTCTGTGTGTAGCTGTTGCTGTTTTCAGATTCCCAGTGGAAATTTTGTGTAGTTCCAGTAGTGGATAAAATACTGTGGCTTGTGTACCTGCATTTGACACAGTGTTAGTGCCATGGCTTGCTGCGGATCTGCAAGCAGCAATGTGTTTTTGAGCATTTTTTTTTTGTCTAGTTTTTCATAAAGTGGTTACAGCTTCACCCACCATTTGCCTCATACGGGATGTGGACAACGAGGATATTTTTCTTTTAGCAGTTTTACTCTGTGCAGTGCTATTTCTGAGCTTGTGAAATGAGGGTCATGTAGTGGGAGAAACTGTACTGCAGACTTACGCAGTTCATTTTTAAATGGTACTTAAAGATGCAGAGGTAACATCAACTTCAAAATGTCACGTCTTCTCAGTAGCAGATAACTATTGCCACCTAAAAACCTGCATCCCCAAGCCCACAGTTACTAGTGGCCGGTCATCAGCATGAGCAGATGGACAGCTGGAGCTGTGAGGGGAAACAAATTGCTACCAGAAGATGTTGGTATTACATCTTTGCTGATTCTTGGGATGTTTTTGATGGCTTTGGTGTGCATGGGTTTTCTCAGACAGAAGGACTGAAATAATCTGTTGTTACTTAGTATCAAATGTCATCAATTTTAGCCATGCTAGAGAGCAAAAAATCAAATCTTCCTTCTTTAAGTATCAAAATGTGGGTATTGGTACAGAGTCAGAATTCCTTCTCTTACTCTAGGAAGCTGCCTACCTTTTGTGTACTCAGATCTTAGGTCAGCAGTTCCTTTGTGTTTTCAGAATGCATTCTTATCCTGCTGCTGCTTTAGGGAGTAGAGGTCACTAAAGCACAATGCAGCGTAATATATGCAAAAGCAAGAAAGATTCCAACCGAGAGTTGGGATGCTGAGAAGTATCATCATGAAGTGGTCATTATTCAGAAGCAAACATTCCATGAGCTACACAAATCCGATTTTTAGGGCAAAGCATAATACTTTGGGTTTCTGCCCTAACACTTTTAAGTTGTTTCTTATGGTCGTAGTATATGATATTGCTAGTGTTACACCAGAAGAAGGAAGCTTTACATGTAGGATGACTGTTGTCTCCGTGCTGCTGCAGGTATTATTAGAGGGTGTATGCCTGACTCCTTTGATCAAAGCAACTTTCACAAAGGTGCTGGGAAAAGGTAGCCGAATTGAAGGCACACATCGCTCTGCTGCAAAATCATGCAGTCTGAATTATTTCAGTTTCAGAAAGCTAGATAGCCGTGAGAGAGGGATGCAGTGGGTGTCAGCCTACTGTGTATCACAGAGCTTCAGCAGCTTGGACACACCTTTAGACAGTGGACGCTCTGTGGCCAGGTTACTGGTTCAGACGTGTCTGATGCCCAAGGAAATACCAGCAACTGTACGATGATAACAGTTCATTTCCCTACTCAGTTTTAGAATATAGACAAGAATCTCGGGCTGCCAGAGGCCTTTTTGTTCTTCTGTGTAGTTTCCCCTTTGCCTTTCTACAATATGTTTCATATCTTTAATTTTAATACAGCACTGCATGGTGTCCTGATGGTGAGACCATTTTGCCATTACTGTAATGTCACTTCAGAAAACCCCACTTTGTTTCTGTACAGAGACAGGGGGCTCCAGAACAAGGAAGTTTTTGGTTTGGTTTGGTTTGGTTTTCTTGGTTTTTTTCACTTAAGGGCAAGGAGATCCAAGACCTGACTGTAGTTTTGCTCGGAAGCATGGTGGGGACGTGTGGCAGAGGGCCAAGAGATGGATTGCATGGACTATGAAGGCTCAGAGCGACTGATCAGCATTAAAATAGGGAAGTGATAGCTGACTAGCAGCCTCGGAGCAATGTAGGTGAACAGGTAGTGCATCCTGGATAACATGCAAGTGCAGCAAGGTATCTGCCAAAGTAATTATGACCCAGGCATGATCGTGCAACCATTATTAAGTGCATCTTACTGCAGAATTAATTTCATGGTGAGTCTAATTACACAGCAGTGTAATTAGTAGTTCCCCAGCTGCGTTGTACTAAAGGCATGCAACATGGGATGCAAGTCTCTGTATAATCAGTTTAGAATGAAAGAAGACCATTCAGATTTTCAAGTTCTTTGTGAATGCAGGGAGTTTGTCAGTCTTTTTACCTCATTGTTTGTACCCAATCTCCAGATCTTTATACACATGTATATATGTGAATACATATATATGCTTATGGACAAATCATGGTTTCAGTTGGTGCAAATAAGGTACTTAAAGATAGCAGAAAAATTGCTCTTTCTTTCTTCTAAAAAAAAGCAATGAGGTAGGGAAAAAAAAAAAAATCTTCTATTCAGTATCCCAGGTTGTGGTTCCAAACTGTGGGATGCTCAGCAGGGGCCGGGCTTTCTGTATCAGTCGCATGCCATCTTACAAGCCCTGTACAGTGCTTGCAGCGTGTGGCCCTCGCTGCATTGAGATCTCTGTCTTCTACAGTCATTGTAGATGGATTTTGAAAGCCACAAAACAGATGTGTTGTCCTGTATATTTTAAATAGTAGAAAGTGTTTCAAGAAACCCCATAAAGGCTGCAGAGAAGGAGCCTGCTGGCTTTTTTTTTTTTTTTTTTTTTTTTTTTTTTTTTTTTTTTGAGTTTGTCGTGCTGTTTGGCAAGGGAATCAGTTGCACAACAGTGATTCAGAAATCGACCTGGCATTCTGGATAGGAAGATAGGATGATGCTTCATTTCAGCACCTGAACATGCATCAAATCCTTCAGGCATTTCTAACACGCAGACTTGGATCTAAAAGCTCCTAAAAGATCAGTCTATGAAGAGAAAATGAGAAGTCCCAAAGTATTATGTTACAAATCTGTTGGCCTGTAATTATGTTTGAAAGCTTTCAAAGTGCTTTTAAAAGTGTTAATACGAATATCCTGAAATATTATTTAATAGAAGAGCAAAGTTCTGCCTGTCGGAAAGGAGAATACCTGAGTGTCCCATCTGGGAGAGCACAGAGCAGTCCAGAGATTAGCTGGCTTTTGTTTTCTTTAATAACTCTTTAGCCACAGGATCCTTTTTCAAAGTTTGGTTCTTGGGTGAATGCATGTGTACATGGGTTATTTAGAAAACAGTTCCAGGGTGTTTAAAGGTAGGAATGTTTGGAAGATACTGAAAGGATACTCTCCCTCAATGTTTAAACACAGTTATCATTAAGAATGATTACATTTTTGGGCTTGCAGACATTCCTGTGGCCAACTGCTTATGTGCTTTGTAGGTAGAGTTCGGATCCAGTTAAGAGCACCACGCGAACATCATCGCATTCAGTCCTTGGCATCACTGCTGCAGTTCCTAGTCAGGTTCTCTCTTGTGTTCATTCTGGTCACATTTTTTTTCTTGTGCTTATCACATG